TCAATAGCAACAACTAGATTTAAGTTTGAATCAATCTTGAAAATAGACAAGTTATTTTATAGTCCAGGCATGATTGAACTGAACTTACTGAAAGTTTCAACCTGATGTACAGATACAAAAGCTTTTCAAAACTAGATTGCTACTACAGCTGTGCAGTGCAGTAGTGATCAGAAATAAATATCTTGACAAAATGTCCTTTAAAAATGGTGTATATTTAGAAAACTGTAACATCATCATAAAATTCTTAGAAAAGCTCTGAACAAAAGCATGTTTCTGTTTAACATAAAATTATTTCTATCTAAAAATCTACCTTCATAAAATAATGTATATGAATTTCCACTTGGTTCCACTTCATCATCAGACAAGGTAAAAGTCCTGTCTAAAACACGATGAGACATACATACATAGTAAGATCAATACAAAGGAATGACATTCATCATGGCTTGATAGAGTAATAAGTCTATGAATCACTGTCACCAACAGTATCAGTCAAAGCAAACAATAACACAAATATATGACTAGCATTTTCCATTCAACTGTCGTCCAATCAATCACAGCATAAGAAAAGGTTGAGCTTAAGCCTCAATCAACTGACAGCGAACAAGGCACCACTGGTCAATAGAAATATTATCTTAAACATCTGGCTAAATAATAAATGTCATTTTAGATCAAACTATTTCAGAAGTAGCTTGAGATAAATCATTTATTTTTAAAAGTAATGCACTAGAAATAAATAGAGCTCCATAAAAATAGATTTTAGAATATAATTTTAGCCAATTGCATCATCTAGTTTAAAATTACACCTAGGAAATACTTACAATATATTCATTCTATAAAATGACTTTGTATGCACTGCATTTGGAATATAAATAAAATCATATGTACAATAATCATCATAAAATAAAGTTTCAAAGTCTTGAGAAAGACAAAAGCAGATTTAGCTAAATCTATTTTAGTTTTATAGAAATTTACTGCCAAGAACAAATTGGCTTTTAACTTAACTGTTAAGAAGAAATAATAAAAATCCTTAACAAATTTAGAACAAAACTGTCACAATATTGCTTCAAAATCTATTGTCAAGATGAGTGTCTTTTAAAACGTCATTAATCATTGCACATCAAGAAATAAATACTTAAGTAAACTTACTTTCTATTAACAATGTCTGCACATGATACTTTTCATTTGCAAAATAAAATCTTCTAGTTTGGCATCAAAGACAGCAGAACAAAAAATAACTAACGAATGAAATAATTATCACTGGCACAAATGAAACAAGTTAATGCCTTGAGGATCACAACTAATGAGTTGCCAGCAGTCAGAAATCACAGTTAACAGAATAAATTGTGCTTTTAGTCATAAGATGTGGATTTTTGCCTCAAATGTAATCATTATTACACTAAACATTTATAGAATCCATTTAATTTAAGACAACAAAGCTTAGGACAAAACTCATGTAACATCAAGTCTAATTCTCTTAAATACTAGCACAAATATAGCTTCATTGTTTAAAAAAAAAATGGTTTCATTCACCAAGAAGTCAGCAATTATATTTTGAAGCAAATTATGTAAAAAAAAAAAAACAACATTTGATTCCCTATTCTAAAATCTTTTCCCCATAATCTCACTTTGAATTATTTGCTGGCCCCCTGCGCTATGTTTACCTCTGCATCATTACATTGTGAAAACAAAAAAATGCATAAAGTAACAAGAAACCAAAAGCTCAGCAATGTTACCAATCAATCCAAGTAACAAAATGTTACTAAATACATCAACACACAGTTTTACAACATTTGAATCATCACAAAATCACTCCAATAATAATTTGTCATTGCAAGTATTTTTCATTTCAAATTAAATGAAGGCAAGAAAAAAAAGTAAAATTTACTATGTTAAGAAAAATAAAACAATCAACCACTTTATACAATGAAGAAAAAAAAAAGTTAAAAGTTCTTCATTTGACCTAGACATAAGAATTCAGAGTCAGTAGGTCACACTGACATTTTAGGTAAGAAAAAAAATTAAACTGACTAACATACATATCTTAAAACTGCTTTTTTAAAAAGTTGTCTTTGCCAAAAGAAATTCTACAGCACTTCAAAGCAAAACTAATCCAAGGACAAAAGAAAAGAATATTGCTAGGCATGGTCTGAATGAACTTTAAAAATAAAAATATCTAGTCAATTTGTTTAAGTTTCATCTAAAATACGCCACAGATAGGTCATGCTACTGCAGCAAGAGAAATCAACAAAGATAACTTCTGGACATGCGTCTTAACTTTGGACATATTTGTATTCCCTGTGTGTTTATGAAGGAGAGAAAAAGAATCAATTCATTCTTGGAGTATAAAAAAAAAGAACTGGACGGCAAAAAAAAAAAAGTTTCTCCAAAAAAAAAAAAAAAAAGGTCAAAGTTCACTGACACATGCTAAACATAATATTCTTTTTTTTTTTTTCTTTTTTTTTATATAAAAATAAACGTAAAAAAAAATACTTGGGTAACCTTGAAATGTGAATGTTAAAATATGGCAATTCATGAATCATTCAGAACATTGACTCTGGAAGCATTTAGACTAGCAAACTAGATTATGAATGAAATGAAAAACACCTTTTTTCTGTATGATACTAACATAATGCTAACAAAAATGTTCCAATCAGATTCAGCACAAAAGAAAGCTTAAGATTTCTCATGAGTTCTAGGCAGTGAACATAGTGCGAGATAAAAAGAAACTCACAAATTAAAAAAAATAATTAATGAATCACATTTGTTTAACAATCAAGTTTCACCATCTAGCTAGCAGTAGAGCTACTAAGATGGATGAACAAGTTCAAAGACACACCAATGTTGTTTAATTTGGTCCGTTCCATCATGAACATTTAGTTAGTGTTAAAAATTTGACCATGACAAAACATTGTCGATATTTTTAGCTTACAATTAAGAGTAACACCAATACTAACAACAAGAATCAAGACAACTGGCCTGCCCAGGATGCTGTGTATAGATTGGTATGCCAGTCATGACCTGTTTCAATAGGCCTGCCAAGGATGCTTTAAATCACCCGGCTTACACAGAAAGCCCTGAATCAAGAGCCGGCATAGGCTGCTTGTATATAAAGCCTGCCTCAATACAAAGCTGTTATGTTAGCTCACATTGCATGACTTTCTAAGTCAATGCTTGGTACATATTTATGTAAAGCAACATGCAGCAGTCAAGAAAATAAAATTCCAGTAAAATATTTTGCTGATATACAACACATTCAATTTTGACACATTCTAATGTGTATTTTTTGACAAACTGGTCATTATCTATGTATATATAAAGTATATATTGGATCACAAAACTCTAATAGTGACATTGAAATACAAGTTTTTGGATGACATCAAGAAACAAAGTAAATAATGAATACTAGCAAAAACATGTCAGTAAGTTGACACTTTACAATTAAGTTGACACTTTACATAAGAAGAATGCTTAAGATTACATTTTTTTAACAATTGATTTTCTTATGTATTTTGTTTACATCAGAAACAATATTGTATATAGGCATGTAGAATTAATTTAGAGAAAATCGAAATAGCAAAAAGTTTCCCCACAAAGTTCAAGAAACAAAACAAAATCTAAAATTAAGCTGTTTCCATCTCTGTTGACATGTTGTGAATGTTGGTGTGTTTCAACATTTCCTTGTGAGTTATCTTGATATCAGGGATGACAGTGCTCTGGTGGTAGGTGTCGCTAGTGTTCTCCATGTTGGCAGCCACCACCATCACCACAGTTGTGTCCGGGGAACTCTTACCACCTGCAGGTATCTCTGCTCCTCCCAAAAGGTCTACTCCAGGATTGGGAAGGTTCTCATTTTTCTCAGAGGTCTGTTCTGGCATAGGGCATAGCAGTGAGTTGTCCCAAGGCATGGCTCTATAGTCGTCACAATAGTCATCTTGGTCCACTGACATTAACATCCTGGATTTTACTGCCAATACAAAATGAAAATAGTTCAATAGTTTACTTCACCATTTTTAACACAATAACACTTATTGTGCTAGGATATGGTATTTACCATTTTAGCCTAATGTGGCACAATGGATTAGGGCACTAGCAGCAGTTTTTTTGTTTAAACTTTCATCCAAGAGTAGTTTGTGTTTCATTTAGAACGAGAACAAGAGCTGCACCAATCAGATATGTATAGGTTTTTTTTGCTTACTAGGTATTTTTAAAATTTTTTTTACACTTAAGTCTTGATACTGCAGTTTATAAAGCCTTCTCTGGAAATTAAGTATTTTGGAAGCTTGTTTTTAATCTAAAGGTACTAAAAGTACATTTTTTAAAACTATATTTATTTATTTTTTTAAAGTTATTTATTCATTTATTTTTTTTAATATTTATTATGCAGAGTTGTCTCTACTTGTTTAGAGAATAAAGAGTATTTTCCAAACTGGAAAATAGCTCTATTGGGTTAACTCTTGCACTACTGCCTTACTCTCAGCTAATAACTTTGCTAGCCCTGGTGAGTTCGTTGTTACACTCAGCGAGTAATTTGGAATACAATATTTCTTTCCCTATCATTATATTTTTATTTCTCTTTAATCTTTTAAATTTTAAGTGACAAAGTATTAACTCTTTCAGTGCGAATTATTTAGATCGAAAAAATGGAGTTTTCCGGGATGAACACAAATTTTCGAGGGGTAGAGTTACTCAAACTAACATAACTTTTTTATTTTATTAAATAATCTAACATATTTAATTTTATTTTAAAGAAAATTGAATGGGCTACAAAATTATAATAAATAAAATTAATTATTCAAGAAAAATATTTTTTCATAAGTTTTAAACTGAGCACGGAAAAAAAAAATATATTTAAAAATTCGCTTAAAATCGATATACTGAAAGATTTAACCTTTTAATTAAACATTTAATTCATAAATATTGAAAAAACACAATACTTAACACATTTAATCACTTCAAATGTCATAAAAGATGAAAAAATACATTAAGAAATTGTATTATTTACATCTTTCGGGTCCCGGGAAATAAACTAAAAAGAGGAACCATTAACACAATTTTCTCTTTTTTTTTAAAAAAGAAAGTTGGTACTGCATCAAATTTACTACCAAAACAAAGAACAATCACTCCCACATCCGGGAAATAATAAAAAAAGAGAGAAATAAAAAAGTTTAACATAAAAAGATAGTGAAATAAATATTAAAAAACAAGTTACTCGCTGAGAGTAACACTGCACTGAAAGAGTTAAGGTGTGATTTTTTTATATTTATGGATCAAATGTAGAATTATAAGGTTAAATGTTAAAAATATATTTTGTTTTTCAGTACTCAGTTTAAACTTATTAAAAGAAATATTTTCTTAAATAATCTATTTTATTTATTAAACTTTTGTAGCAAATTCATTTTCATTTAAAATAAAATCAAATATGTTAAGTTATAGCTTAAAAAAAAAAAAAAGTTAGGATAGTTCTATTAACACTACCCCCCCCCCCCCCCCCCAAAATTTGTGTTCATCCAGGAAAAATCTATTATTCAATAAAAATAATATGCACTGAAAGAGTTAATGTCAATTACACCAATATAATAGATAATATATATATATATATAACTCAATAGTCAACAAAAACAAAACTTGAAAAAAAAAAAAAAAAAAATGTTTCTCAAAATAAAAAAGGTCAAAAGTTCACTGACACATTCTAAACAAAGAAATACATATATTTACATAGGTAGATAGATTAGATAAAGTTATAGATGTCAATAAGTACAGCTTAAACTTCCTGAAACTCTTTAGGTTGTCAATTCTTTATAGAACACAGATGTATTGACCAAAGTAATACAAGTTTCAAAGCCAGTATTTGGTACAAATTAATATTTGGATGTTATTTGATTGATGGGTATACATATTGTAACATTCTCCACTATCCAGGCTCTCTGCAAACTGCACCACATGTCACAACGAACCTAAAGAACCTCACAACTCATCAGGGCTCCAAAGTAACAGTAACAGTTTAATTTCAAATACATCACAATTACTGTACAGTTGGCAACAACATTACACTGACTATCAAAAAACCTAGCCTCTGCTCCGGACTGACTTCACACACCGTGCTGGTTCTGACTTTTCCTTGTACTGGTCATAATGTAAGGTAACGTGAAGTGTCTTGACTAACACACTTGCTCTTAAATAGGGTTCATACAGGCCTTCTAGAATCCGGTGGAACATTGATTGACCACTGGTTTGTGACATTCTCCGTGACTTGCGTGCGTAATATTTACAACACGGGTCTTTGGCTGAACTGGTGTGTACTGTCACTTGTCACGGTTGACTGTGTAGCGCTGGTCGGGGACGGTTTGAGTAGTCTAAAAACACACAGCACTACCCCCATCTGTGTCACCACCAGTCTTACAACAATATACATAGAGAAGATGTGAAGAGAAGATGTGAAGAAAAGACTTCCCTCATATTGTGGGATTGTTAAGGGTATTGTTGGCCAATATTGTTAACACACTAATTAAAAGTGAATATATTTTATGTAGTCAAGATAAATGTGGACTTTTGTTTGAACTTTGAAAAGTTATGTTAATATGATAGAGAAAGTAGTGCTCATCTTCAACTAGCCTTAAGAACTGTTAATTAACTCAATTTTGTGTCATAAAGCTAAGAAAAGACAAAGAGTGATTGTAATGGTCCCATCAAAGGAACTTACTTTAGGTACAATGTCTAAAATGTTACAAATGACTAGTCTGAAAGGAATACAACAGTTTGTTTTCATGACTTCTTTTTTTTTAATTCTACTAAAATTTTAATTCTACTTTTAGTTAATCACCTCTTTTTTTGTCTAATTTTATTACATTTTCCATTACAGCAATGTACGAAATACCTTTAACATGAAGCATGTATTGGACAAAGTTGACAATCAGTTTTTCTCATCCAATCTAAATGTTTGTCAAATGTAAAGCAAATAACAAGGTACATGTAAAAAGAAAGAGGAAAAAACACAAAATAGGAAAAAAATACTGATCAAGTAATTCAATCCTGAAGCTACAGATTGATAATGAAATCACTTGGCTACACAAAAAGATGAGACTTACAAGTTGGCGTATTATACTGGTTACTAGTGTCCTGAGCCGTCATCATCCTAGGTCCTATGTCATGCTGTGGAGACACCACACTGGCTGGCTGTTGGACAAAGCCCAGCATGGCAGGTTTACTGGAGTAGCCAACATTAAGATTGGCAGGTGACATGCTCCCAAGAAAGACAGCAAAACAAAACACAAGAACCTGCAGTAGTAGTTGATGAAGCCCCAGTTAGCAAATAATTTGATACATAGGTCAGGCTAGTGGTTGTGATACATTGTTCTGAAAGTGACTCATGGACATGTCCACACAGACTGGTGGATTTAAGTTTTTTTCTTTAGATATTTTGTAAAATCCTTTATATTTCTATATCATTATCTATAATATCTATATCATAACCAGTATCTATATCATAACCATTATCTTTTATACATTTGACATATATATGCTAATAAGTTACAGAAACATTTCTGTTGGGGTTGAAATTGATTTTCTTAACTTTGTTTATTTGTTCTATTTTAATTGAAGTATGGTTAGAAATCTTTTCTTAAGGCATTATGAATTTCTACAAATTATATAATTATGTATTGACATAACTTACCTTCAATAACTTTTTTTTAATAAGCATTTATGTAGGTATTTTGTATGCATGTATTTTTAGGTTTTATATTGAAACAGGGAATACATGCTGATTTATTCACTTTCTTGGCATATATATATTTAGTGTTAGATTTTATTGGGAGTTGTTAGAACATAACATCTTAATGTCAAAGACAATAGGGGAACACATTTTGAATTTAAAAAAAAATAATAAAAAATTAAATTCTATATTTAAAAACAATTATTGCCATTATTACATGTCTTAAATTCAGCTGCAAATTTAATACTGTTCTACTGAAGTAACATGAATATATCACTACCACACAGCCTTCACCAAGCTAAGCCCCAGTCCAAATACTAGTATTTAGAAGAAAGACTATTTATCTAATTACCTAAATATCTCAATACAGTTGTTTGAACTTTTGTTCTTATTTCATGGATTTCAAATAAATGATGCAAATAGAAATTTTTTTCTAATAAATCAAACAGTCCATAGATATACAATTTAAGTATTGAATGTGAATACTACATTAATTTTAGACGACATCTAAGCTTTTGTAAAACACTTTTCAATCAAAAGTTCAAGATTAATGAAATATGAAAAATAAATGATCAGCAGAAAGTTACTGAAAGTTTAGAAACAAATCAATTTATCAAAGATTTAAAATTTTGGTGAAATGATCAGAATTGAATACTTTCTCTCTCTAGATTGCAACCTAACAGAGAACTTGTCAAACTCTAAAAACTTATGCTCAATTCACTACAGAGGAACTAAGAGAGAAAAGTGGGGCTAAAGAATCAGAACAGGAGCAAATAAATTGATGTATTGACTTTAGCACTCTGAATAAACAGACAAGACTATATCATCAGGGTGGAGTTACCTATCTTAAAGTTACAACCTGTCATGAAACTAGGCCAAAGATCATAAGGGAAGTATATTAACAATGTCAGTTCCTGACCAATAAGGACACTTACACACACACAAAACTGGGACAAGTCTAACTCTATAACATAATAATTACATAGGCCATTTTTGTAAGCTCAACACATACTTAACAAGCTTGGAATGCCTGCTTGGCAATCATCTAACTTGGAATGCCTGCTTGGCAATCATCTTTTTATTTTCTTTATTACAACAGAAACACATTTTAAAAAGTGGGTAAAACTTCGCCAAAGCTTTCAATTACTTGAGTTGTCATTCTTAGAAAACTATGTCCCATTAGAAATGAAAATTGTAATGTTCTAAATCAGTACTTGGTGACAGATGTGTGCAGGAACTACTTCTGTTCTCTCTTATCACCAGTTGATATGCAAAAGATAAAAACCAAGACAGACAAGCAAAACAAAAACTGCTATGTCAATAAACCCAAGCCACAGGCATAAGTTGGATGGTATGAAATAAATAAAATCCCCAGAACAAAACCCAAACCAATGGATGTTTGCCCACACTCTATAATGGTTTCAATGCAAGCCATAAAACAAAAGAGATGTCACTGACCATTAAAGCTGTGCCTGACTGTGTGGCTGATGCAGCTGCAGCTTTGGGCATTTTGCTAACTAAGGATTGAAGTTTCTGGAGCTGACCTAATAATGACCTGAAACATTGGAACATCAGATTATCAGATTATCCAGCAAGATGTTGCACCTATTAGTAAATCTTTAACTCATTATTAAAGCCACAGGTCTAGAATTAATGATTTGTTTATTTAAATATTAAAAAGTCATAATTTTGTTATGATATATATATATATAGATAGATAGATAGATAGATGTCACAAAGGTATGGATATATTGTTTACAAATTTATTTTTTTTCAATGACAAAAGGGCTTCTTCCTTTCAGAAGATCAAAAGTGGCTGTTTGACCTTTTTGAACATGATACAGGAAGTGGTAACATTGGATTTTCATAGTGTTTTAGTTTTTGAGATCAAAATGTGATGGACAGATTTATGGACAGACATAAAAACAGCACAAAATTTTAGCAGGTTTTCACTACAGGGGCTGCAACCTACCTAAAAGGTGTAACAAAGCAAGTGATTAAATGTAGGAATCCATGTTTTTTTCTTACCTGTTGTTGTTCTCCAAATTCTCCACTTTTTTTTTCAAATCATTATTTTCATGATTATATGCTTCCACTCTGTCAAACAAAAACACAAACCTTTTTTACTCATGAAATACACCAGGGATATATAGGAACATAAAAAACAAAAACAGATAACACTAGAGCAAAATTGACTATAACAGGTAAAAAAAAGAATTCTGATCATACTTAAATAAAAAAATTGCTGATTCTGTATTTAAATAATTTTTCAATATTCCTTGTTTACTCAGCTAATGAGTTTGTTTTGAAATGAGTGAAAACAAAATTCCTATTGTAAGAGCTCAATGCTGTTTCCTAGAGTCAGGCTACAAGTATTTCTATCATCTCACAATGTAAATCTTTACCCAATAATCATACAAGTTGAGAAATGTATCATCAGCTTAAAGAGTGTGAATATTTTGTTTAATTCTAGCCATCAACATATCATGTGTTT